TTTTCACACTAACACAAAGACGACTTACTGCAAAGAAGGGGATAAACATTTCGAAAACGACGTAAGTATATCCCGAGCGAAGCTATTATCAACTTTAGCTCGTGGAAAATAAGATAGAATTTAGTTTCGTATATCGAATGATGCAATTAGCGTGGTTCATTATGCAGGGTAGAATACGGAGCTTGAACAGATGGTATGGATGCACTAAGGAAAACGGATTAGGCTGGTTGACGAGGTATTATGCTAATTTTGTAGCTGATTTACGAATATTACTCTTATTGTATACGGAATAAGGATGATCTGTGTTTTATCTGTAGTGTCTGTCTGTTCCATATTTTCTAAGTTGTAACTAGAGTAAGACAGTAGTGTAAAATTATGTTTGAAGTATTTAAACGGTTTTATACCATGGCTTCACAGAAAAGCGGCGTGAAACAACGCTTGCGTTTAGTAAGGTTATCAGAGGCCCAATGTTCACCCTCCTTTCCCTCACATTCCCAATCCCAAAATCTTCAGTCTTGTTAACATGGTAACAAGACTAGAAAATAATATTCAAGTTTCGTTTCTACAATAAAAAATAAACACCATATCTCTTACAAGTTGTGTGTCGCATCACTATCTATGCATATTCCATATTTGAACTGCAGCGTTGCGCTCGCTACGTCCCTAGCCGTATCTCGAGCGCTTCCGTCGGACGTGACGTAGGCGTTTGTTAGCGCCTTCCTGTTTAAATATCCTGTGTAAATATGCGAGTGATACACTTCTCACATTGTTTGATTTTTCGTGTAAGTGAGCATTTATTTTGACGTTTGTATACTCTATTTGTTTCGTGGAACAGAGAGAGATTTTGTTCTTAATTTGAATTATTGCCGTTAAAATTCAAATTGTATTTTATAAAGACTAATTAATTTAGACGAATTAGGCATGTTTCAAAAATACACTTTATGATGGTTACGTGCTAAATAATGATCTTAATATATGTATAACGGTATAATTATGGATTAAATAGTTACAATCTTCGTTGTTATGTGACATTAACATTCGTTCAGTTGTTTTTACGCGGAATAATAATAATAAGCAACAATCCATTCCTACTTATAATCTGTTGCGTTTACACAATTAGTACCTATAATGAAAAATATTCAAATCAAAACAAACAAAAACAACATTTATAATTTTAATAATGCACGACAAAAGATTTCACCGCAGGCGTACAACCATTCAAAACGTTTTCATCCACAAATCGCTTCAAATTTTTTCGAACAATTTCTCAGAACTCCACTTTAAATCAAGTACCTACGTACAGCGCTAAAGAAAATCGCATTCAAACGATTCGATATTTATCGGTTTCTATAACAATTTTAAACTCGAGTTATCGGATGAAACATCTTCAAAGTGGATCGTTGCTACAATTTACCATCTTACAATGAATCTCCATTAACGTACTATTGAAGTTCAATGCGAAATTACTAATAGCTATTCTATTTACTGCTTCGACAATTCCATTCAGCCCTCGAAGTAGATTGTATCTCGAAACGGGGATTGTGTAATGATTTATATTTGCAAAGATACGATTTGTCAACATCATCAGTTTTGTCGTTAATTCTAATAATAAATTGAAGGTTTTCAAGATTAATGTTGTTGTGTATGTATTCAGTACTGTGATTCATAATAGAATGGTGTTTTTCAGATTCAATCCAAATTTGGACAAAATACTATTGAAGATTTCTCGCCGTTTATTGTACTTTTTTATTGAGGGGGAATCAACAAATGTCTTCTCTCGCCTAGGGTCGGGCGCGAGGGAGTGTCATTCCTTCACTTGCTCTGGGTGGAGGTCACGGTGCCTCATTGCGCTTACCCCGCAAGCCCGGCTGAACATAAGCTTAGCTCTTTGAGACGCGTGTAGAACGCTACGCGCCGTACGCTCGGGTCTGGTTCTGGTCGAACGGCGAGCTACTCTTACTCGCCGTCCGCAGACCCGCGCTTACAGTGGCCGGAGATCGTCTCTCCTCTCAAACTGAGTGAGGGGAAAGGCAGTGTCAAACTCTTACTGACTAATTGTCAACTTCTCAGCTCCAGGCCGGGGCCACTGTACATTGTTGCGTTTGCATCAACTGCGCTATTGGGTCCTATCTGTGGTGGTCTATAGACTTTTTGATGCACGCGCAGAATACCACGTGCTGTATGATCGGGTCTGGGTGGACGCCAAGTTTTCGTTGGACTGTAATATGGAGTAATTGCTGTACTCAGAGACTTAAGCCCATCTAGCAGAAGCAGGAGTAATTGCTGTACCCAGAGATTGGAACAGCTCCTTTTTAATGTTTGTGTGTGGGAGAGTTACTTCGGCATGAATGGGCCTGCTTCACCGGATTGATACCACGGCCTTACAGAAAACGGATCTCAAGCAACAGTTACGTTGTGTTTCGTCTTGTGAACTTCAACTTGAACGTAAACCTCTACATTATCGCTAATTCGAAAGGGATGCCAAAAGTAATAATCCCACTTCTTTTCTAAAATTTTCCTTAGAAAGTAACCTGTCCTGACTATACTCTATGAAGTCTTGTTTCCTTAATAAACGATGCTCAACAGTAACGGAAAAAAACAGGAGGAGTTTATAATGAATATAAAAAGTATCAATGTATAAAAAAGTAATGAACTATCCTTGAGGATTCTATCGAAGTTAATATGGCGGGACCAAACAAAAGAAACACTAGATACATTTAGCCATCTGTTGTAACCAGAGAGGCTATGAGTTATAGCCTACGTCCAGCCCCTTTCAGCTCGAGTTTCGGATGGAAATATCGAGAATCCAAACTCGGAAAATAGTAGAAAATATCGAATACACCTCTAATTCATTGGTTTATGAATTGGAAAACCTACTTTTGGTTCAGTTACCATATTAGGTTTCCTTTGATGGAAATCTCCGAACTAGTTTTCGTTGCTATGGCTTTTGGGTGAAATGTATACCTGCATGAAATGTTTATCTAGACTACCTGGATATACGGCGTAGATAATTTCATAAAGTCTTGCTAGTTATATTGCTCAAATATCCATTTTTCTATAATATTATGGATACGGATTGGATCCAATTACATTAACAACAAAAAACGAGAAAAAATAACAAAATTTATAATTTCCTCTCACACCTCATGCATTCCAATAAGATTTCCTTGCAACCATTTGCAAACAAATCCATAACTGGATAAGATTCCAGGATATAATTGATATGATAGGTCTGCAAACGATCCGACGGATTACATGATGGTCATGTCACCCGTGGACAATCACAATAACAAAAGAGTTGTTAACAGTGCGTTGTCGACCTCTTGTGGGTTATTAGGGATTTAAGGTTGAGGATTTGAGGATTAAAGATGGGGAAGGATGGGGTGGAATGAGCCTCCGGTAACCTCTCTTACATTGCGAAACACAACGCAACCGCTTCACGCCAGTCACCAATATTTAGGTATAGATATGTAGCGTAGCTGTGTGTGTGGGGTGCGTACCTCGAATTGCACACCTAATATTGTCACTATTAATTTGAAGGAATGTTCAAGAAAATACTGATTTCGGTAATGACTGTTTATTTCTTCACATACACTGTTAATTTAGAGGTTTTGAACAACAGGCGTGTGGCCGGCTAGCGGGTATCGAAGCGACTGCTCGACGCTCCCAAGTTACACGTTGAAAATCCTGAGTCAACGAATATTACATTGTAGTGTTGTGCCTAACCCTACAGATAGGTAGCCCTCAGTAAAAACGTACACTATATAAAAAAAAACCTTGCCCTTTTCGGAAGTTCGGTACCAAGACTTGTTAGTAAATAAATATTGCAATAGAAACTGTAATTAAAGATAAAATCGTAATTAGTTTTAGTTCTGACGTAAGACGTAATAATCTTTAGAGACTACCTACACACAAAAAGGGCGAAAAAGAAAATTAATCAAAGCCGTAAAGAAAGAAAATGGCTCTAGCAGCCATTTTCCGTTTTCTAAGAACAAATCTAGTCGAAATCAATACTCTTAAGATAATGAATTGTTTATGAACATGCTAACTAAGTTGTTTGATGAGCCAATAAAATGTTAACTTAAACTTGATGTAACTAGCTCGTTTACAACACCAGTTTACGGCTTCTATTTGTTTATTAACATTAACTTAAAGGAATAATTAACGCGTATGTTGCTTGTTGTAAATATTTTAACCTGTTAACCTTTCTGCTTAATTTAAATTGAAAAGAATTAAATGTAATCTCGTCTTCTCTGATTCAGCATTGGAGGAACAATGTGTTAGAATAAAAGGTTTTAAAAGTCATTCTATATTGGAATGTAGCCAGCGAAAATAAATCAAAGTATAACTGGTATTCAGTAAAGAAACCTCTCGCGCTCAATTTTCATTCCGATTTTGAAGCCGAAGAAACTGAGTAGGCATGTCCTCCTTCTGAGGAGTAGTCATGCTAAGAGGAGGAGTCAACAGATTAACACAGATGACAGATCCAGCCGGGGTAGCGGGTGTAAGTGTGTAATGACGGCTCTGAGCAGAAAAAGGATCGAGGAGGAGTAACTGTAAGAGTCTGACACTTCATATTGGGCGGGAGAAATTAAAACCCCATAGAGGATAAGACGTGAAATTGTATTATATTTCTGTATTATAAATATACTGCTCTACTTTTAAAGTCCTTTCGGATACTCTATAAAGAGAATATTAATGAAAAGAAATGTAAAACACCTAGTTAATTAGATTGTTTTAGTTTCCCTAGAATTATTATAGAAGATGGTCTCCAAGACCCAAAACCACTTCACACAAAATTCATCTTCAATCATAATATATCATTAATCCCTATCATCAATCCCTAAACATTTTAATACCTACTTACAAAGAAATCTTTTACAAGTATTTAAAAATAAAATTCATACCATATCACCCCAACTTAAAATCGTCTAGAAACAGAATCCACCAACATTTTATTACACTCGACTAGGTACATAGTTTCAGACAGCATATATAACATGGATGAGAAGACTACAGCGCTACTTAATGAGGGCACTTTGAACATAATGATCCGGTACACTCGGAGATTAGACAGAACGACATCTATGAACGTTGCACTAGAACTATCATAAGGATATGTGCAGTTTTGTTCCATAAAGTAGTTATGCAGATATAGGATGAGTGCGACACTGGAAATTTTGTAATGGAACTTGGGAAATTATTTGAAAATGAAAGAAAATATTTGAAAAACTTGGGGGAATAGGCATAGATGTAGGAACCTACTGCAATAACCAAGTGGGAAAGCCATGCTTCGGATTGAATAGGTAGGCTCACCTGAAGTGATATCATGGAACATTCACAGAAAACCGGCGTGAAAACACCCCAATGTTGTGATTCACCATGTGAGTCAGTTTGCCGGAGGCCTATACCCTCCCCTATTGCCTTCCTTAATCCCTAAATCCGTAAAACTTTTTTGTGTATTGTTAGTGTCCTTGTGCGGCACCGATAGCTTACCATCAGGTAATTCGTCTGCTAGTTCGTTGCCTTATCACATAACAAGAACTGCCATTCACTGCCATACTCACACACAATTAATGACTACTTAAGCTATACCTTAATTACGATTTTGTTGCGAAAACACAAGCAAATGACTATGCTAAATAAACAAGTAAATGATTCTAAAAACGTCGGTAAGTACTTACTTAAAGGCCAGTATAATAATCTTAAGAGCTGCTACTCATTTTAATGACTAAACTAAGGCTTAATACTCTGCTAAGGATTCTAAAAAACCTAACCTTCAGAGCTCCCGGCATTGTATTTTTTTGGATTTTTGTAAGGCTTTTACTGTATAACAACCGTCAGGACTGCGGGATATTATTGTGCTTGACATGCAACCTCGGCTGAACATCCGCCCAGTAATAGGGTAGTTGTTAGTCACTTAGAGTCTACCACTCCCTTTTGTTCCACACAGAGCAATAGAAGATATTTGACCCCGCCCCCTCAAAAAGAACAGAGTATCCAAACCACTTATTCTTTCTTATTACATATAAAAGTAACTGGGTTTAAAGTAGACGTAACGTCTTCCAGTTCACTCGTCTGAGTTAGCACTCCGTTTTATGGAGTGGAATTATGTTTTGAATAATTTATTTATGGTAATTGTATTTTTTCCCCTCTTTCCCTCCCAGTTACTGCGGCGTTTTGACGTACTTACCTTAATTTTTGTTTTTACGCCTCTTTGAGCTTTGTTAAGGGAAATTTTAAACTTCACCTTAATTTATAAATAAGGGTCAAATTTTGGTTGCCAATCAATTTGTTTTATCGACCCATTGACTTAGAAAGTAGGGAAGTTTAACGCAATTTTCCTAATTAAGAATTGCTTGTTGAGAAAATCTGAGTGATATTATTACATGAGTTTTCATAATGTAGCGTAGAGTTGACTGTAGCATAAAATGCATTTGTTATCACTCCTTCCCTCCTCCTGCTCTTTGTAAAATGGCAAGCGGCAATTTCTGATGCAATGCATACAAAATCATTTAAACTGTGATCATTATTCCGCCTCCAAAGAGTAAAATAAGACTAATATTTTTATTTAAACGGTCTTCAGTCCAGCCGATTCTTTACATTTATATTTTTCTTAAAACCCTTGCCCCACTCTTAATTTTTCTCCCTAGTCATGGGTGCGTTAAAAACATACACATCAGGCCCGGTACAGAACAACAAGTTACACAAAAAGTTGGTCCGTGCTAGAATCAGACTTGTGATACGTTGTTTATCAAATTTTTTTATAACCATTTTTCGAATCGAACTATTTTTTCAATGTGCAGTCTCATATTCCATTCTTGTTTTGAATCGAGCCGAGAGCCAATAAGTCAACATTTCTAAAACAACAGCTCTCCATCATCTGCATATAAGTACTTACCATGATAACCCATTCCTGCAGAATCATTTTTCAATACACTTTTTACCTGAAATTCCCTGAAGAATTGTACTGCAATATAAGACTTACATGATTTTATCTTGGAATTGAATCAAAACCCTTGGGTGCGTGCACAATCGATCACAGCCACAGCGCATAGACAGATAATATTTTTTCATAAAAGAAAACTCTATAAATAAACACAGACAGGTCAAGAGTGAGGTCGTTAGAAATGTAAGGTTCCGCAACTTGAATTAAATTTATTTATTTAATTGTTTTTTTTTTATTTTTTTTTATTTATTGTTTTTAAATATACACACTCTTATTAGAGTATTTCCCAATAAAATGTTGTTTACAGTTATTGCTATACAATAAACACATCAGACTAATAAAATAAAATTAAACTTACAGCTAACACACAAAAACCAAACAAAATCATAACATTATTCATAACACAAAAAACAAATAAAATAAAATAAAAAATTCTTTTATTTTTAACAACTTTTAACACTACTCTAGACCAGACAAATCTATATATAAAAAATTGCCATTATTTTTTTACCTAATACGTTAATAAAAATAAATGTACGCTGTGTGTGTTCCTTATAATATATGTTTTCTAAGCATTTTAGACAATTTATACGATTTTGCAGAAGATATGATTTTTTTGAAACTTATTTTTCCTGCTTTCAGCTTTTTAATTTATGTATTAAAATAAAATTTATTAAAATATGTTTTAATAAATGCTCCAGAACATTTTAATAAACCCGATTTTAAAGTTAATTCCATGAATGGTTGCTGATCCTTTTAATAATTTCAGTCTGTGGGCATCATTTGGTATTAGTGGTCGAGCTCATTGGTTATTAAATCATCTGAATATGTTATTTAATATATGTACTTACATAATAGTAATGAAAAATTGTAAAGTAAGTGTAATATGCAATAAATTACATCAGGACGACTGATGCAAAATATATAAGTAATAAGTAAGTATGTCACATTATCCGTCTATAACATCTTAATTAGTGATCGAAGGTCTATACTAGTTCTTTATTGGTGATCGAAGGTCTATAAGTGCTTACTGCTGAGCAAAGTCTCTTCTCACACGGAGAATATTTGAGAGTCATTGGTGATTAATGCTCAAACAACATTGCTCGAGGCGGATTGGCGAATTCAAACTTAGAATAGAAATTATGAGTTCTGGTTTCCTCACGACTTTTACTTTGGCCGTATGTTAGTTATGTCTAAATTATCATGAAAAGTACATATAGCTCGAAAAAAAAAAACACATTGGTACTTGCCAAGTTTCGAACCCTCACCCTCATGCATGAGAAGAATGCGCCTTAATCTCCCCCACAAAATATTATATACAAATAATAATAACATTATACTTTTAAGGTCCTCTTATAACATAATTGTGTGGGAGAGCCATGCTTCGGCACGAATGGGTCGGCTCGACCGGAGTGATACCACGGCCTCACAGAAAACCGGCGTGAAACAACCACAGTGTTTTGTTTCGCCGTGTGAGTGAGGATACCGGAGGCCCAATCCTTCCCCTTCCCAATCCCTCCTCAGTTCCTAAATCTCCAAATCCAATTCCAAGGTCGGCAACGCACTCGTAACTCCTCCGTTGCGGGTGTCCATGGGCGGCGCTGATTGCTTACCACCAGGTAATCCGTCTGCTCGTTTGCCGACCTACTACATAAAAAAAAAAAAATACGGAACCCTAAAATTGGAAGATATACCTCTGGAGAGTCAATAAATAAGTTTAATCGAATGTCAGCCTTTGACGGGAAATGTATCAAAAGAAATATTGTTTCGAACAGAAATCTCTAGGCGTTGTCCCTGTATATTTACTTTTTTTTTAAATCGTTGTTCCTATACCATAAACTACTAAAATGAGTTTTTATTTATTTATTTATTGACGCACTAACAATTGATTTCACTTGTTAATTATGGGATCATCCACCTTCAATTTTACCCCGATGCTGACCACAATCCACAGACATGAGGGACCGACTAAAAGAAAAAGAAATTAACTATACAGAGTTACATAATTAATTGAAGACTGTTAATATAGTATTATACAGGTTGGCACTGAATGCATTATAATGCTAACTGGTTATTATACTTACCACATTTTAATTAAAATCACATTATAAAGCTAAAACACAAAACAACAAAATCATTATCTAAAGAAATGTAAAAATCTTAATCATATAATCGAATCACAATCAAAACTCAAATAAAAATAAATATCGAAATTAATATTAAAAATCATCTCCAATAAGTTTTAGTCCAATTGACTCCCATTGTTTTGAAACGCTGAATAATATATACAAATTACAATTAAATTTTACTTAGGTTTATAATTTTTTTTAGGGACAGGTACGATAAACACGAGGCTTTAATTCGAAATCAGAGTTTTCATTGTAAGTTTTTAGATATCGGAATACAATAATGAAACAGCAAAGCAAATTATATAGGCATAGCAAATTGCCAGTTGCTAGGTTCATTTTTGTCTATTTCATCTTCGAATATTCTGTTCGACTTTTTTTCGTAGGTTTGAAAAAAGAAGTCATATTTTTTTTCTCGTTTACCCATATTCCGGCGCCATAAATATTGTATTCAGTACTATAGAGGAACGCTGCTGAAGTTTTGGAAAGGACCGAAGTTGTAAGGCCAATTTGGTCATGTCCAGTGTGAAGCGTAAATTTAAAGTACTGGTGACATTTAATTAACACTTCGAACCATTTAGTGGAAGAAGTTTGTCCCCGCTATTATTTTCCTAAGCGATTTAATTATACGCGGTTGACGGGAACTGAAGGTTTTAATTAATATTGCGGATTCTAACGATTACAATGAGTTCGAGTGCTTTAAGATATTATGTGGGAATGGATCGAATCTGGGTAGATATTATTGGAAATACGGTCATTTATATCATCAGCCTTCAGTGCTCACTTCTAAGCAAGACGTCTTCTCACATGGTGAAGGTTTGAGGAATAAATCACCACGCTAGCCCAAGGCCCATTGGCAGTATTAAACTTATAATTAGAAATTATTAGTGCAGATTTCTGTCTCGATATTATCCTACATTTGAAATTGTCATGTCTTAATTATATTAAACTGTGCGTTCAACAGTTGCACTTGTGATCACTTGACCAACAAGGTACTAATTTAAAACGTTAATTGAATTCGAAACTAATTTTACAGAGATTGTTGTATGTAATAATAAATAAAAAATAATGGATAAAACTTTTGTAGCAATGAACAAAAGATTTTCTGTTAAATGTTACAATAGTAACCAGCATTTGTTTTGAGTGCAGAAGCCAAGAAATTAAATAAAGACTTTTTAATTGCAGACGTTTCTTGAAGATTTCAGGGCGTAATAAAAAGTTATACTTCATATATTGACTCTGGTATATTTAACAGATCCAGCCAGGATTCCGGGTGCAAGCGTAATAACGCGCTAGTTTTCCAAGCAGGACATAGAACGGGGTCTTTTCCGTTTTTCTGTCAATAAGAGCTTGAGTCTTCCTCTCACCCAACCTCAAAAAAGAGGTTCAATATTAGACAAATACTTTTCCATTCCTTTTTTTTCTTTTCATTCTTTTGGCCTCCATGGTTTATTCTTAAATTTCGTATTTATAATATTTTATTTATAGTATGTTAGTATTGAAATATTTCAGTAAAATTGTTATCAAAATTATTTCCGTAACATTGTACCAACACAAAATTTGTTCCCACGAAACCTTTAAGGATTTCCGCGAATCCCACATGTTTACGTGGAGCTAAAACGTATTGAATCCCGCCTAGTGAATAATTCAATAACTTTTTTTTGTGTACACAGGAAATTATGTAAAAATATTCGCTAAAATTTATAACTTTGTTGAAACACGTGTATTCTTGTTAGCCACATAAATAATTATTGGTATAAAACTATTATATTTGTTTTAAATTTACTATGGAAACCTACAGTAAATACATACATATATTAGCAAAGTTATTTGTTGTTTATACATGTGTATATAAAATACATTTATTTTATTATAAACATATAAATCTATTTTGTATATTATGGTCACATAAATATCTATGTCCATAAGTAGAACTTTTTAATTTACGAATTTACCCCATTGATCTACTCCGAAGGAGACCTGGATTTACATTTTCTAATTATAAGTTTGAAATCGCCAACCCGCATTGATCAAGCGAGGTGATTAATGCTCATAACTTTCTCCGTGTGAGAAGATGCCTTTGCTCAGCAGTGGGCACTTATAGGCTGATGATGATGATGATCATGATGATGAGTTACAAATATAAGAATAGTAGACACACACAACAGGAGAATCCTCTGACCAGGCGAGGTGATAATGTCTGGCGGGCTACGGCCCAACCATTGTGCATGTTTGCACTATGCATTTTCTATCCGCCATTAATCGCGCACAAACTTCACTTGCGCTATGTAATATTTGTCACGTCAGCTGTCAATTGTTACATCGTCGATTTTCCATGTGCGTCGCTACACAAGATAGATAGATAGATTGATAACACATTTATTCAGCACAAACAATAACAGACACAAATTAATTTACAAATAAGTGGGTACACAATACAAATTAACGAGAAAAAAAAATCAAACAAAAAGAATAAATATAAAAATTACGTATTAGACGGGTAGTATGAAAGAAAGAACATAAAGAACGAGAAAAAAGGAAAAAAAAATACGGCGCGGTTCAGCATGTGTCAGGTATATATGCAAATGCAATGACGCACTTACGTCGAGTAGACCGAACAATGAACAAGATAACTGTTTTTACGGAATAAGTCGGGATTGACGGGCGACGGATGACCTGCTGGTGAGCAATCTACCCTGCCCATGGATAACCGCATCACCCAAGTAGTTACGAGTGCGTTGCCGGTAAATGGCAGGTTGGGGTTTCGGATATTTAAGGTTTGAGGAGATATGGGGGAGGGGAAGGTTTGACCCTCTGGTAACTTCACTCACACGGCGAAGATAAATGTATTATTAATTATTTTCTTGTTTTGTAAACTTGTCTTCGTCTTATACATAAAAAAATATTGCTGTTCGTTCTAGTCTCGCTAAAACTCGAGAACGGCTGGTTTGTTTTGGATATTATGGGTATTAAAATGTTGAGGTCTAGGGAAGGTTTAAAAAGTCAGAAAATTCGTCACATTTCAGGCAATACGAAGTTTGCCGGGACAGCTAGTTTTAAATAAAACAAAGTATCAAATTATTACAAAAGTTCACCTACAGTTCAACCACCACTTTTTATTTCGCGCCACTTTTTACTTTTTACACCACGTTGACCCGCGTTAGCGGACGATTTGATTTTCAACAGTGTTTTGTCAAATATTCATGTCTCTAAATAAATTACTTTTTAGGTAAAGTTTGAAATAAAATATTATTAAAAGATTGTATCTAAATAGGTCAAAGTTTGCACAGGCTTAAAATAAAGATTCATTCAACTATTGTGAAATAAAATTATATTGTTTTCTAAATCATATTATGTCACTGCAGTTTCCAAACAATGTTTGATGTCTCTATACTATCCTTAAGAGTGCGAGAGTATAAATGGATCGGCTTGACTGAAGTGATACCACGGCCACACAGAAAACCGGTTGTGAAAAAAACCGCAGCGATGTATTTCGCCGTATGTGTGAGGCTATAGGAAGCCTAACATTTCCCCTACCCCACTCCTTAATCTCCGAAACCCTTATCCCCAAACAGCCGACTAAGCATTCGTAACTCCTCTGATGTTCGGGTGGTCCAAGTTTGGCCCGATAGCTTTCCTTCAGGTTATCCGTCAGGTCATTTACCGAGCTATCACACAAAAAAAAAATAGTCAACCTCTATATTCGTTCGTAATTACCAAAGAAGTCTGCAGATTATCTATACTAAATTATTTTTTTAAATAGTGGAGAATACAATAAAATATCTTTCACCCTATTAATACATTATTTACTAAAATTAGACATAATTAAACAAAAACTGACCCTATTTTGTATTGTTACAGAGTCGAAGATGATGTAGACGCGATGTGTGCGCCGGCCGCCGCGGCGCTGTTGCTCGCCGCACTAGCTGCATTGCCTTGCAGAGGTAAACAGAATTCTTTAAATATATTTTGGATACATAATGTTATACGTTTCCTATGTAAAAAAAGAATTTAAATAGGTAAGCTTATTTTTTCCGCAGAAAATTGTCGCTATCGAAGAATATCGTTAATAATAAACTTTATTCACAAAGGACTTTGTATTTGAAACATGAAAAATGTCTTTGTCCCAAAATAAATATACAAACACTTTAACAGAAATGGATGGAAATTCCCAAACAGAATTTAGAGCTCCATTACATAATTTGGACTATTCCCGTTCCATCTTTGTCAATGGCACTTCAACGCTATGGAGCTAAGAATCCGAATGCCCTCGAGCGCATTACAAATTCATTGCTAGTCAAAATGGTTTATTTTGACGTCAGTATATTCAAAAGGTCCATTCCTTAAGCTGTCGGCCATTTAAAAATTTTCTTTTTCCACCGTCTCTCAAATTAAATTGCAAATTCTTAAGGGCTTTCATCTTTATTCGTAAGTGTCCTTATTATATTTTAATTCCTAAAAAGATTTAAACAAACTGGACGAATGTTTGCGATGAAATTGCTCGGAGTTTTTATTTAAAAGCAAGCTGTTATGCCGTTTCATTTCATACGCTGCTCTGATTGAGTTTAAAAGCTAAAAGCGATGTTGAAAATTATCATGCATATGCTTGAACTGGAAACATGGATGTATCTTTTTAACTCAATTTTAAGTCACTTCAAATGCAAGTTAACGACTTATTTTACGACTGTGTACGAGATAACATTTCACTTACTCGTGTATATTTAAGGTGATCTCCTATATAATAATCTTAAACAAATGCGACTTAATGTAATAATCAACAGGTAACTGTTTTTTTACAAAAAAAAGGTTTTAAGTCTGACGCCCTTGCCTACCTACGCTTCCTTTTCGTTTTTAGACAAGTGACCTAGCAACCCACTCCAAGCAGGATTGAAACATGCGACCTTTTGTCACAATGTTTTCCTAAGCAACAAACAAAACCCGAAGTGGTAACAACTCAATAGAGAACTTCTAGTTTACTTTCAACCGAAAAGGTTAAAGCGTGCCCAGACATGCTCAAATAGTCGATTGTTTATCGAGTCTAAAATTTACATTTCCATTCGCAGGCACCGACGCTGATGTTGCGTCAAGGATATTAAACGAGACCAACAATTTTCAAGAGACCGGCTCCCAACCAACGATAAACAAACTTTATCAAATGTTACACACTAACTCTGACCTACATAATCAAACCAAACTTGGCGAAAACTTTAATTACTCTAGTGTTAATCTTACACATAGTTTTAACTTATACAACAATCTTGAGTATCCTACGAGTATTGATAACAATCGAATTGAGTGCTGCGTGAATGCTGACGAGGGAAGTAAGAGCAATGCTAGTTTATCAAATGAGGGTGCTACAGTAATTGTAAATAATGTGAACGGTGTAGAGGATGATAGTAAGAAGAATAGAAAAAGACGGGTTGTGAATGTAGTAAGGACATTCATAGAAGTTACTACAAGTGACACGAGGCGGTACATTGAAGCAACTGCAATGTCTCTGCAGTCAAGTCACTCGCCAGCGACAGTGGACAGGCGACGGAAGCCTGGCGAGACGGGGTCTAGTGCTCCACTTTTAAATTACATATTTGATACATACTCAAATACACACCAACACAGGAATGAAAAGTAAGTAAAACATTTATTGTAGAATAGTTAAGCGTTAACAGGATAATATTTTTTGAAGCTGTTGAAAAAAATCGACCCCTTTCTTTCGCTATTATGGTAGAATTATAATGCCAATAATTGTTTTGATTTATGTAAATAATTTATCAAAGTAATTTCTTAATTATATTCCACAGAGTTGAAATCTCAAAAGTCTAAACAAAACAGTGTATTAAGTACTTCATCACAAACGTGTTTACAATGGAATTGATGAACCAACATTAATGTTTGGTCGTTGGTTTAAAACAAAACGTTGTTTGCATTCACTTAATGGCATGGTCGAATGGCGGCATCATTTATTCAATTTTGTTGATTTCATTAAAAGCAAAACTGTTATGATTAAATTTCAACTTTGTGAATACGAAATTTCGTATGGAATTCTTAAAAATCTTATCTCATTGAAATAAAAGTTTCTAAAGATAAAATTTTCCCGTATTTGTCTTTGTTACTGGCGAGGCGAAATTTTTGGGGCATTTCGAAATTATTCAATGATTCCACAGAAGATTTTAAGGTTAAAAGTTCAAAGTTAACAAATTCCCAAAACACCTTTCACATTTTCCGAAACTCGCAGTTCGGGATACTTGGAGTGAATATTTGGGATTTAAATCCTATTAATTGAAAACAATTTCTTTTCAATCAGGGTCGGGAATGGGAACAGTATTTATGCGGCTGCCGCTCCTGAGATTGAAGCTTTGGTTGGGTCCACTGCTCATTTAGACTGCAAAGTGGATGCTCTTCATGATAAATTGGTAATAAGTATGTCTTGTCTTGCGTTTAGTTCGCTTTCATCACCTTAAGTTTGTCCGTTCCTTCGTTTACGTTTTCATCTTCCATTTCATTATTTGCTTATTTTTCTTTGGAAAGTTTTTTCTTTTTCTTTACACAAGTTGTTCCTATCCAGGTATCTTGGGTGCGGCGGAAAAACGATGAAGAGCCAATGGAGTTACTAACAACGGGTACCCAACAGTACACTGCGGACGACAGGTAAAACTTTGCAAACTTAATAAAACAAAAACGGTTACTTATTATACTCAATTATCTTGACGGTTTCCTGAAACTTTTTAATATATTGCTCTTGAATAAACTCCGTACAAAGTTGTTGAAACGAAAATATAAACAAGCGTAGCGTCTTCCGTCCTATAGGATAAGTATAGGTACTTACGTATACTTTTCAAACTGTGCGAAATTATGTATGATGAAGAATTTTAAAGCGCTCTTTGAGGATTCTTATGGAGTTTTTTTTTATTTACTGTAGGTAAACAAAGTTTGAACGATAGAAGTTATGTTTTGAAACGTTTACACAATGCGGCGTTTTGTTGTTGTTCTTATCTTTATTGCCCACTGACTGCACTTAAGCAAAATTTTTGGGAGATTTTCTGAACGAATAATTTTTCCTTCTTTCTTCTTCTTTCTTTCCTAGGTACTCAGCTCGCTTCATCCCGCCAGATATCTGGAGACTGGAAGTCAGAGAGGTCCGTCCAAGTGACGCAGCGCACTACGACTGCCAATTGTCTGCTCATCCACCACGTACAGCAAGAGTCACTCTTCGAGTGCCAGGTTAGGAATATTACAATTATTATTTTTATTTTAGGATAAAAGTGTTATGTTATTGTCACGTTTCATTCTCATAAGATATAATATTTCTTCTGGTATTCGTTTCAACGTTATTTAGAATCTGCACATTGAATTGGATGACAAGTATTACCAGATAAAAGAGTTTACGGAGACTTGCTATGTCGCCGCGCCGGCTGCATCGCAGCTCAGACCAATAAAATAATATGAGCATTTAAGGAACTAGATTCCTGATGCGCAACTTAAAAAAACAACGTTAATCATAATTTAATTATGTTTGGATTAACAAATATGTATTTATAAGAGTATTGTTTTCTTAAATAGTATAGCATTAATGCGATGTGAAATAAAAAGTATTATCTCAAACTAAATAGGTTTGGAAATACATACAATAATTTATTTTCTAATCATTTTTCTTAAATAAAATATCGAAATGTTAAAATTGTAGTTATAATTCTACGTTAAAAGAGGATTTAATCTTGGTAGCATATACTACTGTGCCTTTTATCTGATACCATATCGGGTGATAATTTTGAGGCCTGAGTGCCCAATCATAATGACTGAAGTCCCTATGACAACAATATTAATAGTAGGTATTATATGATAATGGAAGATTCATTAAACTTTAATGTCAAAAATTTTCCTAACAAACAAGAAATTTAAGTAAACTATATAATAATTTAAAAATACTTAAATAATTTAACGAAGACTTCAAATGGACTGACAACAACGAAGTTGTTTAACAAATTGTTCTTATAAACTCTCATTATTTTTATTGTTCCTAATTAACATTATTAGTGTGAGCGTCTACTTTGTTATTGATTCCGTTATTATACGTTCAAGGACTATCATTATAATGAGTTGCTAAGAGTACACAATGGTAAATGTTCTTATTTTAAAAAAAGACAGATAGATTCGGAACCAGTTTTTTAAAAAAGTCCTTTTTAATGTGATGGGACGGCGAACACGCGGCACCAAAGAAAACAGACGTGAAACAACCACAGCGTTGTGTTTTGCCGTGTGAGTGAGGTTACTGGAGGCCCAATCCTTCTTTCCCTCCCCAACCCCTACCTACTCCAACACTGAATCTCCGAAACCCTAATCCCCCAAAAAAACTGACAACGTACTCGCAACAACTCTGGCGTTGCGGATGTCCATGGGCCGATTGTTTACCATCTGGTAATCCGCCTGCTCGTTTGCCGACCTATGACATTGGAAAACAATGTATTGTGTGCACAACGAAGACTCCAAGTTTTAAGAAACAGTCGACGTTGAGCACGATAGTTTACGAATCATAATCTATACAATGTACGGCAAAAATATATTTGTTGGATAGTCCTTTTAACACACGACTACTTAAAGTATGCTCACGAAAAGAATTTCTAAAACTTAATACCCGATCAATACTTTAAACTATAAAACGTATGTCCTATACAATGTCTCACTGTTTCCCAAGAGTGCGTTAACATCTGACATAAAGATAGACAAGGCAAGCCAATCTACAATCCCGAGACGTTGCTCGAATGTTTACCTACCCTAGCTTTGACATTTGACACATGCTAAGCTGTCACCTACCAGCTGTTTGGCTAGTAGTGAAGCAAATAGCAATATTCTAAGGTTTCTCAAGCTATTCACTCGAAACCACAGCGTGTCTCGAGGCGAATTCGTCTCTATGTATAGGTATTATTTCGGATAGTTTATTTGGGTTAATGAAATATGAGAAGGAGAAACGTTCTATTAAAAATCTGTTACTATAATTACGACAGAGCGTATCAGCCGCATTATATCTTATAGCTAAATAATTTACAATCTTATTATAAAACTTATGAAATTGAAAATCTATTACCGAGTTTAACCTGTTGTAGTAAGTTGACTTGTCTTAAATTTGAGGTTGCCTGGTAATCAACGAATGTAAAAAGGATTATTTTTAACGTATTTTGCCTTGTGATTTTTTATGTGATAGGACGGCAAACGATTTTACTTTGGCCTGATCGTATTGACACCATTCTGATTTTGTTATCAGAGTAATTACGGTTGCATTGATGGCCTTTTGGGGATTAGGGTTTCGGAAATTTTGGGTTTGGGGGAGGGAAAGTAAGATTTTTGGCCACAAACTTGTGGTTGTTTCATGCCGGTTTTATGCAAGGCCTGCATGGCATTACTCCAGTCAAGCCGACCCATTTGTACCTAAGATTTTCCGTAGCGGATAAGGAAACATAGCTTCCCGCCAACGAAAGGCAAGGAACGCACTTGTGTCCATCAGGTCACCAGGTCATCAGGTCAACGTTTTACGTTTACTCGTCTGCTCTCATACCATATCTGTAAATGCCACTTTCATTGTCTGTGGAATCAATAGAATAGATACCAATAAAAATACTTTTTGCAGAAGTATCAGTCCGTATTGTGGATGGCGCCGGTGCATCGGTTTCGGAGCAAGTTTGTGAAGTTGGCAGCACTGTCGCTTTACGGTGCGAAGTGAATGGTCTCAAGATGGAAGGTGGTCCGTCCCTTCTTTGGTATAGGAAGGATGACTTACTCAATGATGATACCACTAGAGGTGGAATTAGGTAAGTTGATCATCATTGATGGTTTGTTTATATTTTTGACAATTAACCTAAGTCTTTTAGAAGTCATACTCAGTCAAATAATCATTTCTAAAACATTGTGTATTATATCTAATGCCATTTTGTTTTATTTTATCTCACTTCTAAATATAATGACCATCAAATGTCAATACGAAATTAATGGGTGTCAAAATGTATCCTAAAAAAAGAAATGTCAGGACTCTCATAATCGGTCGCGGGTCAAGCGCAATATGGTACCGGCCTCGTCATGGAGAAGAAGGAACGGGGGCTTCAGTAAGAGTCAGACACGCCCTCTTGCGGTACTCTTGGCGAGAGAAGTCATTTGAAGATTCCCGCCACAATCAAAAGAGGATTCCACAATATCTCTTATTTTAATATGTCTTATTTTAAGTTTTAGTAACTTATGTTCTTTACTAACTATTAATTTTTGTGTCTGTCAGTGTCCGGACTGAGTTCGGATCAAACGGAGCGAACTCAATACTGCGAGTTGCGCGCGTGCGCGGTGATGACGCGGGGCGATACACATGCGCCATCGCACGAGCCCCGCCCCCAACGCCGCCGCCTGCGCATGTCATACTGCATGTCATTAAAGGTAAAATGTTTATTAAAATAATAAAAATGAGCAAAACATCTATTACAAATGGCATATCAGTGACGAATTGTTTTCTTTTTCTATTTGATTGAGTTTCAGTTAAATACAAAATATGAAATTAATCTTCTTCTTTTATCGTCATTCTTTTATCTTTTTTTTATACTTTAGCTTTATTTTTATAGTATACTAGCCGTCCGCTCCCGCTTCGCACGGGTCCAACTATCTCGCAAACAGCAAAAGGGTCACTTTACCCAATTTTCTCCTCTACTTCTGTAATCTTTTTTACAATCAAGAAAGGCATTACAATAATAAATCAAACAAAAAAGAATTGGTCCAGGCGTTGTTAAGATATGTGCTAACCAACATATTTTGAGATCTATTTTTATATATATAGAAATGTCTATCTATGTTGCATTTGTTGTCAATCATTAATCTATCAAGTAAACAATTTTCTTCTAAGACTTTAACTGAAATAACATTAACATCGCATAACTGAAACTATCGACGCCACTTGCACTCGCTAAAGTTGGCTTAACACGAAGGACTTATGAAACTTCGAACTTGTCCCTAAAGTCTCAATTTAGGCAATTTCCAAGTTTAGTGCACGCAAGTACGAGTATCATAAGCGATTTAATAACGGAGTTAGGAACTCACACGAGCGTTGTCAAGAGTACTGCTATTATTTTATACGATACTAACCTTTATCATGCGGTTTCACCCGCTGCACGGCTCCCTTTGATTGTAGCGTGGTGTCTTATAGCATACAAGAACATTGTAACTACATATCTGTTAAAGAATTTTGGAAATCCGACTAGCGTTTAAAAAAGATAACCCCTACATACAAACGTATAAATTTCAAAATTTACCTCTTTATAAAACAAGTGTATATGCAGATAACTTAAAATAACACTGAGTTCAAATTACAAATTAACATTTACTAATTAATTTTCCGTCACAACCAAAGAGAAACCATAGTCAATAAATAACAAATATCATCCTAATTCTCTTCTTGTTCTTTTGCTCTATAGTCTTCGTAAACTGTATCTAACCTTCTTTGTCCTTTCCACCAGGTGAAAGCCTTGCGGAATTACATCAAGGAGGAAGCTCATCGCTCGCCTCCTCATCATGGCTGTCAATAACGGCGCTGTGCGTCATTTTACAAGTCTACTTTGTCTAACAATAAATTGTTCGTATTTATATCTGACTTTTTATTTCTTCTCAGCCCTTCTAGAACACTCGATTTGGTAAGATAAGCAATGGTAATTTATCATTACGTAAATATGACGACACAAAAACTCCAGGTCTTTGTTTTGGAAAAAGAGTAGGACAACAAAAACATTTTTATTAAGAGATGAATTTGAAAAATGTGCCCCGGTCTTCAGCCAGGGTTGCTGGTGAAAGCGCAATGATGTACCGCGGCTTCGGTCTAAAGTAGGAGAACGAACAGGGGAAGCCAGTAAGAGTCTGACATTTCCTCTCGCCTCACCCTGGGCGAGAGAATTTATTGGATGACGTTACTTTAAAAAAAATAAGTATTCTCACCATCCTTCACCGTATGTCAGTAGTGAATGAATAAACTTATGAAATACATATAACTCGAAAAAAGTGGCATTAGTACTTTCAGATTTTGAGCCCTCTGGCTTATGCAAGAGAAGCGGCTGCCTAAACTTCGCGAGCCTTCCAACATTTGTGAAGATTATGCAGCTTATTGGTTTCCTGAACACCCAAGCTACTCAGTGGAACGTGAGCTGGGTGATCTAGTTACACAGACTAAACTTTATCGGTCAACTTTCAGTTTTCTTAAGAAGTAGGTAAAAGTACAAACTCTAACAGGAAGTAACTAGACCAATATTATCTAGTAGGCAAGCATTAAGAGCTAGTTTTCCTTTAAAATGTGGCTTGATCTTTAACAATTAATTTAACAAAAGGTATTATTAACTAAAAATCGCGTATTACTCACGTGAGTAACACGCGATTTTTAGTTAATTTAGTATGTCTCACGATAGTTATTATAAAAACAAAAGGTATTATTGTTTCATAGATAAAGTAAATGAATTAATTGGTAACACTGCTAGTTGTAAACTGTAAACTTACAACTAGCAGTATTATTAAAAAGTAAAATAAAAAATAACTTTTATTACATCGTCAGCTATAAGTTTTTACTGCTGATCTTTAAAAGACAAGCTTGCTTATAGCAGATTTTCGTTTTCAAGAATTCTATCGTATAGTAAAAAAGTTACAGTTACAGCGATGGTTTACTTCATCGTTAGTCAGTATTAAAAAAGCTTAGAAAGTACATATACCTCGCAAGAAGTTGCGTTGGTACTTGCCAGGTTTAAAACCACCCCTCACGTATCAGGAATGGTACGGAGGGACAAAAATCGCACTTTAATGTTGTTAATCAGAAAAAGCTACTAATGCTTGTTCATGTATGGTATTCTAAATTTAATAAGACTCTTATACTACTCGCGTAAAGAAGGAGATTCTGAAAAATAAATCCTTATAAGTTACAAATACAAAAAAGTGTTAAAGAAGAAACCAACTCAAAAATGTCCTTCAACAGTCAAAAAATACTTTCCTAACCGAAAATATGTATAAATAAAGGTAAACAAAATGACATAAAAGTCGCAACAATTTATGCGTATCATATGAAAATTGGACGTTACCCCGACAATGGGACGGTTATCCGCCATGTGTAATCTGATATGTAACCTGAGTGACAAATAAAGTGGTCATTGGGGCAGACGTTAACGTTTTTCTTGCATTTCCCGCCTGTATCAGGGCGTGTTCAGACGACACGGCTGTTTAAAATTTGTATTTAATATTTTTTTATGTAATTACCGGATGATGTATATCCGCGATACTAGAGAAGGCACAATTGTGTTGCCGATCATTTTTTCACTTGGGGTCTTAGGGATCGGATGAGGGTAGGAGGTTTGGGCATTCGGGCTCGATCGGAGTGATACCACAGCCTCAAAGAAAATCAAAACAACTACAGCATCGGGTTCCGCAGTGTTAGTAAGTTTACCGGAATTGCACTCCTCCCCAATCCTTAATTATCCTAATACAATAAGGGCGGCAACACAATCCTATCTCTTTTAGTGTGGACCCATGGACGGCGCCGATTACTTACCATCAGGTTATCTGCCTGCTCGTTTGCCTACGCATCTCAAAAAAAGAGTAGTTAAATTAAAAGCTCTATTTATCTACAAACATGGTTAAAGACTTTAATGAATCTCGGTGAGATGCAAGCGAAAGACGTACACCAAAATCATATCATTTGGAGTTCTATTATTGTCCCTAATGGCTGACTGGCGTAAGATTTAACGATTATAACGATATACACAAATGACGCCCGGGAACCGGCCGCCGTGCAACGTGCCGCGGCTTCGGTTACCGCACGGAAAAACTTTTTTGCGTGATCTACAAATTGTTATAACTAGTCTAGGTTTTACGTGTGTATCAATTTGTATGTTTGTAAAATCGAGACAGTACCAGGGTTGTGAGGTAAGCGCAATGTGGCACCGCGGCCTTGACCTAAAACAGAATAAGGAACAGGGATTATTTTAGTCAGTAAGAGTCTGACACCTTACCCTGGGCGGAAGCCATTTGTTGATTTTCCCCTGACAAAAAAAAAACTCCACGTGGCAGCAGATAGGTAATTGAATAAAATATATATTTGTAATTTGAGTCTTATGACAAATTAATAGAATTTCATTAACACTTTGGGCCATATTACGTCTGCCTTTTACTAACATGATCTTCAATAAATGCCATTCGGCCGTGTTGTGCTCATAACATCTAAACGCGACCTTATCTTATACGGGATTACATAAATAATCATGATGGCGGCCTGAGTGGTGTTTTGTATTTCATGAGCAGTTTCCATGCTAATAAGTATAAGTTAAGAATGGTTCGACTATGAAGCGTAATGGAAATATGCATAGAGTTTTTATGCAATTGGTGTTTTATAGATAATGGTTATTATGCGTTGAGCTTAAGTTCCATAATGAAAGTTGGACTGCTTCGTTAGTTGAGAAATGGTGTTTTTATTATTTTTTACTTTGAAGGAGATTTTAGTTTTAATCTAAGGCTAGAAAGGATTAGAAGTATTCACTGGATCATTTAATTGGCATAGTGGTTAAAGTTTTTGTAGGCATGCATTGCACGTATTTTTAATCTGAGAAAAAAATAAACGAATTACTCTCTTTATGATGTCTTATGAGCTCATTGTAGAAACGCTATATACACTACATAAATGATATGAAATTTCAATAATAAAGATGATAATATTCATATAACCATCAAGGTCTCTTTGATGGCAAACCACAAATGAAAATAAAGCCAAAATATACAGATTTTCGTCGAAAAGATGATCAGTATGCATTGTAACTGAAGTGTTAGCAATTACTAAAACATACCACAACTTTACGGTTGAACAATCATTATAAATATGTAGATGGGAGGCTATGAATATTTATGAGGTACAAGGGTACTTGCTAAACTCGTCAGATATCGGATAAACTGATAGTACCTACGGTAACTATGTAGAGAACTATGTAACTGGTTCAAAACGAGACTGTTCTAGCATTGAATTATGTCGAATTTGTCCAATTTGCATGTATAATATAAAATTCTTCATTGTAAAGACGCGAGACGGTCAACCTATTCATTTATGTTAAAATTGTAAATTTACTTACCGCTTTAATTTAAAGTAGAAAATGATTTGAAAAAATGTAGGTAAGAAAATATATATGCTGACGCCTACCAGCAGCAGCAGATCCAGCATCTAATAGGTCAAATGGCTGTTGACCGAAACCAGATCCGAGATTATGGCTCATGGCGATCCACGTGCGCCTTAGCAAGCCATCGGCTATCACAGAAATCCACTATGGCTGATGTCCAGCCGGGGTTGTATCAAGCGAAATACTACACCACGGCCCGAATCCAAAGCAGGAAAAGGTATGGTCTGGTGTTTATCTGCGATCTCTTTCTAACACCATTTGGATGGATAGGAGCTGACAGCACTGTTTGGTTAATCTATACTAATATTATAAAGAGGTTGAACAGGTAAAATTCGCAAGTTTGTATGTAGGGGTAATCTTTGGAACCGCTGGAAGTAATCGTTGGAATTTGTAAGTTTGTATGTATGTAAGAGGTAATCTTTGGAATCGCTGGTCGGATTGCCAAAATTCTTTCACTGATATGCTACTATGTTCCTGAGTGCTTATAGGATATAAAACATCACGATACGTGGAGGCTACGCTAAATGGAGCCGAGCAGCGTGTGAAACCGCGCGAGGGTAGCTAGTTGAGTTAATATAAAGGTAATATGCCAAGATCGCAGCATTATGATGATGACTATGTTCATATTAACTAAAAGCTGCTCAATTGGAATGTTCAAGGTAAAACATTCAGATCAAAACCCATTGGACAAGTTAGCCATAATGGAATGGGACACAAATGGGCAATATGTTGTGTTTCAATATTCACTGTAGAAACGCAGCAATAATAACTATAAATGTACTTTAACAGAACACCCGTTTTGTGGATAATGGTATCAACCATAAGGCTGTCGATATAGCATACTACTTAATCGCATTTTTTTTTTATGTGATATATCGGCAAATGAGCAGACGGATTACCTGATGGTAAGTAATCAACGCCGCCCATGGACACCCGCAACGGAGGAGTTACGAGTGCGTTGCCGACCTTTTAGGGATTAGGGATTTGGAGATTTAGGGATTGAGGAGGGATTGGGGGTGGGGAAGGATTGGGCCTCCGGTAACCTCACTCACACGGCGAAACACAACGCTGTGGTTGTTTCACGCCGGTTTTCTGTGAGAGATCCTCACTTAATCGCATTTCGTTTATGTGAGATGTCGGCAAACGATCAGGCGATTTACCTGATGGCAAGCAATCGCCTGTTGAAATCAGAGGGGTTACTGGTATTTTGAGATTAGTATTTCGAAGAGTTTGTGATTTGGTAGGAAAGGGATGGAGGGAGGGGAAGTATTGGGCCTCCTGTAACCTTACTCACACGATGAAACACAACGCTGTGGTTGTTTTACTCCGGATTTCTCTAAGACCGTGCTATCACTCCGGTCTAGTTAACCCATTCATAAGCAAGCATAGCTCTTCCACACTTATATAAAATCCCATATTCATCTGAATAATA